AGAGAGAGTTGAGTTTCAAAATCCAAAGTGTTTTGACTACAAGATGTCTACCTTAAATGTCTTTTGCCTGAGAAATGATTAGCAGCTTATTAAACAAAAGAAGAAAGAGATTTTTAATATGTTGACTTCATTGGTACACTCCCAAACTGTATGCATCTCTTTAATAGTGCAAACAGCTGTTGCACATGTACACTACAGTAGGTAAATACCAGCACGGTCATGATTTATTTGATGTCTAAAATAGTAATAAGTGATTAATTTGTCGCATCACCTTGGAAACTACACTATGCGAGTGTCAAGACTTGACTTAGTATAGAGACCTTCAGATTTTGTTGAAACGAACAGTCTGTAGTGAGTAATTTCTTTGTTTTTCCTCTGGTCAGCTCCCAGGCTTGCCTTCCATATTTGAAGAAGGCCAAAAATCCACACATCTTAAACATAGCACCACCTTTAAACATAAGGCATGCATGGTTTAAGGACCATATTGGTAAGTCTGACTGAAACATTTTGTTGCTGTACTTTCGACTGTCAATGATGTTACAAGTGTATACTTTAGGGAAATGGATTATAAATTTTTACAATGATGTTATGGATAAATTACATTCATAACCATTTYCGCTACGYTATTTGGTATGTCCCAATAGCAGTAAATGGAAACCAAGACAAAACTTAGTGTATGTGTACTTTAGTATAAAGTATGCCAAGCGTTTGTCCTGGGGTTAAAAAGTGGGCATTAACATTTTGCTAGAGGGTCGGCTCCAACTTTATAAAAGCTGTGTACATCAAATGTCTTTGGAAGAATCGTTGGAATCAAGTAGGTTAAACAACACCAGCCAAGTGATGAAACTTATGGTTACTGCTGACTTTAATCAGATGCCTTCATTCTGAGAAGGAATTTGAACCAGAGTTTGTATGTTGTTACGGTTTGAAATCTTGGTGGCTACTCCCTTCTGTGGGTACCCATTGTAAAATCAAACCAAGAGAAATATCTGCCCAATATTCACGACAAGTTGTCTAGAGAACAGGCACTCAGTAATAAGGGTGGATACAGCAATTTGAACTGATGCAGTCTTTAGTAATCTGATGGCTGGTATTAAAAACTACAATTCAACCCCTAAAAAACAGCCATCCTCGGGGAAATGGATACTTTCTGTGGCTGCTTAAAGGGGGTTGGCTGCTTAATAGAGGGAAAAACAAATGAAAAACCCTAATTGAGACTCTGATTACTGGCTTCCTAACAGGACTGTACATGTTTTTTGTCAGTTTTTTTTTTTTATTACAAATCTTATGTAGTACTGTAGTTTCAGTGAGATGCAAATTGGGAGCTTAGCAATGATGATTCAGGTTGTGATGTCAAGGAAGATGTCTAGTTAAAAATGAGTTTATATTTTACCCTTGGATTTCCTATTAATTTTCTAGATCTGTTAAGTGCAGCTATCGGTCATCTTAGCATCACACATTTTGAAACATATACGTTGAAATCTTTGTCAAAAAAACTCCTTAATTATACAAAATGAAGGACTTGATGGCCCAATTTATTGAGCCCTTCATTGACGTCACGTAAATGATAAAAATAAATTCTCAATACTGACAGAAATTCCTCCATTTAGTTGTAAGTTTTTTAGCCCAAGAATTCTCATCCACTGAGCATTTATTTGTGTGTGTTGTTTTCAGCCTATTCGTTGTCTAAGTATGGAATGACCCTGTGTGTCCTTGGTATGTCTCAGGAATTCAAGGATGATGGAATTGCAGTTAATGCCTTGTGGCCCAAAACAGGTTTGGTCACATCACATGTTTACGTTTCTTATATTTAAAAAGTAGTGATCATTTTGAGCACGCGTGTGTATTGTTTTTGTTTGTTTGTTTTTTACAGCTAGTGCTACAATTTCTTATTACGTGTTCTGTGTATCACAGGACGTTCTTGAGTGTTGTAGGAATCCAGTTTTTAAGCGTTTTTTTCAATGTGGTGTTTCCTTGTTTTGCTTTGCTTTGTTTTTTTTTTCTTTAACGTACAAATTTACAGGATTTGCATTGCTAAAATTATGGCACCTAAGATAAAAGACTGAAAGTGAGAGGATAACATCATTAACAAAGCTCAGAGAACCTGGGATCGACCATTCTGTGTTATGCAGAACATGTGTGCTCAGTGTACACTACTGAAAGAAGTTATCATCAATGATCATGAAATGAGTTCTGAACTAGTGTGCATTACATTTTTGCTTTCGTGAAGGGTCAAGCCTTCAGTTTAGTTTGCTTCACAAGTATCAATGCATCCCGTAACATTAGCCTTCGTGTCTCGTATACGCAGAATTTGGTAATTTCATGTCGTTGCTTTGCAAAGGACGTCTTCGAAATGTACTGGGTATAGAAACTCTGCGATGGACTAGCATCCCATCCAGGGGGGAGTAGAAATCCTCCTGGTCACTTTATGCTACAGAAACCGGGGTAAACTCCGGGCAGATGAGCCAGTTGGGTCGTATGCAGATTTTACCTTTTTACTGGGTGTAGAGCCACTGTTCTGCTCTTTAACAGTTCGTTCGATTTCTTGTTGCCGTTGCTGTTGCAATTTGCTAATGCTCTCCAGTTTATCAAACACGAGAGATAATGTCTCATCACATTTACAAACACGGAGAAGGGGCCTGAAAAAATACGGCGTGCAAGTGGCGGTTATTTTTGACGAAATTCCAGATTTTGAAATTTATGCGATAAAGAACCACCTTTCGTTCCCTATGTTTCCCAAGCGAAACTCAAACTAAGGATTAAAAGCAAAGCAAAATCGTAACGTTTTGTTCATATTGAAATCACTTGTCCAAACCACCGTGACGGTTATGATTTCCTTTGTTAGAACTTGAGGAATTGTTGATGAATTTGAGAAAGTACATATTTACTCAATTCCTTAGGTATTGCTACAGTTGCTGTGATGGTGACAGCTGGTAAAGAAGGCCTGGCATATTGTCGAACTGATCGTGTTTTTGCTGATGCTGCGTATGTTGTACTAACACGGGACAGTCGAGCCAGGACAGGAGAGTTTCTTTATGACGAGGATGTACTCAGGGAAGCAGGAGTGACAGATTTTGAGCAATATTCATATATCCCAGGTATTGTGTTCTGGTATAATGTCTTAACTACATGTACATATATTGGTAGTGAATTGGCTTAATTAACTGCTGCCCAGTTTTAGCTGGATTATATTCAGTCACGTGACACGTTAAGACAAATCGAGTGCTTGCGAAAACATTTGATGGATTTTATAAAAAGATACATGTAGCCTCCATTTGACGCGGATATATGCACGGATATTTGTCCTT